TGAACGCCTAGTTTGTTGATGATGAAGTTATTTCTTCCTGTTTCTTACTTTTCCTTCTACCAGTCAGACCTCTCTCTTATAGGACTGCTGAGGTTCACTCCAGGCCCTGGTTGCCTCGGGATCACCTGCAGCAGCTGCAGAACAGTAAGGGTTGCTGCCAGTTTCTTCTGCTATCTTTGTCCCAAAAGGATACCTGCCAAATGTCAGTCTGAGCTGTCCTTTATGAGGTGACTCTTTGGATATATGGGGGTCAGGGAGCTACTTGAGGAGACAGTCTGTCCTTTATAGGAGCTCAAGTGCTGAGCTGTGATCTCCATTGTTCATTCAGAGTTGCTGGGCAGGTACGTTTAAGTCTGCTGCAGCAGAACTCATAACCCCCCCCTTTTTTCCCCCAGGTGCTCTGTCCCGGGGAGGTAGGGCTTTATTTATGAGTTTCTGTTGTGCTGCTGCCTTTTCAGGGTTGCCCTGCCCAGCGAGGAGGCAGCCTAGTCACTGTCTGCCTTCAGAGGCTTTGCTGAGCTGCTCTGGACTCCGCCCAGCTGCCATGTGAACTTCCCTGCAGTCCTGTTTATATGGGTGTAGTTAGAACTGCCTTGGCAGCCTACCTCTGTAATGGCAGACTCTCTCCGTAATGGCAGGCTGCCTCAGCAATGGCCAACTACCTCGGTAGTCGCGGACACCCCTCCACCACAGAGCTGGACCATCCCGGGTTCAGCTGGGCTTGCTGTGAAACTCAGTCTAGAGTGTTTCAGATTGCTGTTTTTTTGTGGGGCTGAGACCAGCCAAGCCTGATCACCTGGCTCCCTGCCTCAGAGACTTTTTTTTTTTTTTTGTCTCCCAGGTGTGTTGGGCGCCGGTATCTGTGTAATTTCCCGTGTGGCGACCCACTGTGCCAGCTGAAACAGCAGCACTGAGTTTCATGGCACTTTTTTGCCTGGGAATCTCCTGGCCTGGTTGCCTGTTTCAGTCACATTTTCTCTCAGCTGAATGGGCAACTCTGGCTTCCCCAAGCTCCAGTCACCAGCTAAAATGGTGCGTGGACCCATGTATTTTGTACAGAGAACTGCTGCACTGGGGCGCCAGCCAAAACAGCTGCACTGGTGACCTATGGGGCTTCTCCGCCTGGCAATAAAAATCTGTCTGGAAATGCGGCATTTACTCACCCTCTGCACTTTCACTAGGAGCTGCAATCCTGAGCTGCTCCTAATCGGCCATCTTGAATTCGTCCCACCTTTGCATTTTCTCAACTGTCTTTTGAAAGAGCAAAAGTCCTTAATTTTATGACATCCATTTTATAACTTTTTAAATACATATATTTGTACTGTTTGTGCCCTGTTTAAGAAATCTTTGCCCAACTCAATGTCATAAAGATTTTCTTCTGTATTTTCTTCTATAAATTTAATAGTTTTAGTCCTTAAGTTTAGGTCCATTTTCCTTTTCTCATACATTTCTACATACTGTGTGAGTTGAAGTTCATTTTTCTAATTAGACATCTGCTTGTCTCAGAATACCTTTTTCCTATTACTTAATCTAGCACCTGTGTCAAAAATAAATTGACCATATAAGTGTTGGTCTATTTGTGGACTGTCTTGTTCCTTTAATCCATCTGTCTGTCATTAGACCAATACCATGCTGTCTTGATTTATCTAACATATAGCAAGCCTTGAAGTCAGATAGTGTAAGACCGTCAACCTCGTTATATTTAAAGAGTGTTTTGGCTGTTCTTGGTCTTTTTCCTCTCCAAACGCCTGCAAGGATTTCAACTGGATTGTGTTGAGTCTGTAGGTAAATTTGGGGAGAATTGTCATCTTAATAATGATCTTCTTATGCATGAACCATGGTGTCTTCTCCATATATTTGTCTCCTTTAATTTCCCTTAAAATTCTCATGATAATGCAGTATAATTTGCACTATATGTCTTACACAGCTTTCATTAAACTTAATCTAAAATATTTTTAATACTATTTTAATAGATTTCGATTTTTTTGATTTTTTAAATTATTTATAATTCTGTATAATTTATAATCCTAATTGTAGTAATTTTCTGATATATGGACACTCATTTGACTTTTAAATATTGACTTTGTAGTTTGTGACTTAATTTCACTTAATAGCTATAGTTGTTTTGTGGATTTCTAAGAATTTTCTATGTATAGGATCATAATATCTACAAATAGAGTGTTTTTTCTTCCTTTGCAATCTTTACACTTTCCCCCTTTTTTTTCATTACTGATTTTAACTTCCAGTACAGTGTTAAAGTGGTAAGAGCAGAAATCCTTGCTTTGTTACTGATCTGAGTTACAAAACAAAATCTTTAATCTTTGAATTTTGTGTTATTTGTAGATTTTTGTAGATGTCTAATCAGGTTTAGGAAGTTCTCTTATACTTTTAGTTTGCTGGGGGCTTTTATCATTAATGAATGTTGGATTTTGTTAATTTTTTTGCAGCTATGGAAATATGGCTTTCTCCATTGTTTTGTTAATACAGTAAATTACATTGGTTGACTCCTGACTGGTAAACCAATGTTGAATTCCTCAAATCATTTTCACTTGGTTATGATTATTATATTTTTTAATACATTGCTGGGTTGAATTTCCTAAAATTTTGTTAAATTTTATATGTATTTTTGAACATTAGAGAGTATAGATTAGTCTGTACTTTATTTTCTTGTTTTATGTTTTCCTTGTTTTATTTTTTCTTTAAGAATTCACTCATGGCCGGGCGCGGTGGCTCAAGCCTGTAATCCCAGCACTTTGGGAGGCCGAGGCAGGTGGATCACGAGTTCGAGAGATCGAGACCATCCTGGTCAACATGGTGAAACCCCGTCTCTACTAAAAATACAAAAAACTAGCTGGGCATGGTGGCGCGTGCCTGTAATCCCAGCTACTTAGGAGGCTGAGGCAGGAGAATTGCCTGAGCCCGGGAGGCGGAGGTTGCGGTGAGCTGAGATCGCGCCATTGCACTCCAGCCTGGGTAACAAGAGTGAAACTCCGTCTCAAAAAAAAAAAGAATTCACTCATGAAGCAATCTAGCTTCCAGCAGGGAGAGGGTTTTTGTGTATTGGGAAGGAAGGCTTATAATTATGAATTTAATATATATAATTGATAAAAGGGTATTCAAAGTCTCAGTCTTTTTGGGTTTTGTTGGTGGTGATGGTTTTGTTTATTTGTTTGTTTTTGAGGCAAGGTCTAGCTCTGTTGCCCAGGCTGGAGTACAGTGATGCAATCATGGCTTACTCTAACCTCCACCTTGAGAGAATATGTTCTTAAGGGTTTTGTTAAAAGCCTTAATTGTGTACAGCACTTTATATTGTAAGGTGATTAATTGCTGTATCATAAGGCAGGAATCGAACACATGTTTTGGGAGATTTAAACACATACTATGTGTTTTGGAGGGGCTTTGTGTTTTGTAAACCTTTAGGTATTTCAGAACTTGACCACATATCCCATTTCTTGAGCACAAGATGATTAGATTTTTCCTTAAAATAACAATTTTATAAAACCTGTTAACACCCAAATTAAAGAACAACTTCCAGTGAGGGTTCCTTTACCAGCCAATATCATTAGGTAGGAAAATTGAATTTCTGTCCAAGTTGGATTATATATTAAAGCAGTGGCCAGTGATATATTTGGATATTAGGGTATTTGGCAGAGTCCCTAATGAGATATTTTTGAAGAATGGGACTTAAGAAATGTGGACTGGAGAATGATACAATTAGACTGATTTGTAATTGAGCACAATAAACACTAACTGAATCCTTGTCATCAGCTGGTATGTAGTACTCTGCCTTTTTTTAAAAAAAAAATCAGTGGTTTGAATGAGGACAAATAGCATGATGGTGTTGTTGTTAAGTCACAGGTATGTTAATCTGGTATCCACATTCTTGAAAATTGGATGGCAGGTTTATTTAGAAAACAAAATAATCTTGGTGGATTAGAACAGGGAATCTCATTAACAATGTAACTTTTTCTAAAAATCAAGACAGGGTCTCACTATGCTGCCCAGGCTGGTCTTGAACTTCTGGTCCTCCCACCTCGGCCCTCCGGATAGCTGGGATTACCAGGCATCCACCACCATGCCCAGCACATGATAACACTTAATAAAGTATAAATGTGAACTCTTTTCCTTTGCCTCTTCCCAAAAAAGAAACTTTAAGAACACCACCAGCTGGGTGTGGTGGCTCACTCCTGTAATCCTAGCACTTTGGGAAGCTGAGGTACGCAGATCGCTTGAGTCCAGGAGTTTGAGACTAGCCTGGACAACAATGGCGAAACCCATCTCTACACCAAAAATATACAAAAATGTGCTGGGCATGGTGGTGTATAGCCTGTAGTCCAGCTGCTTGGAAGGTTGAGGTGAGAGAATCGCTTGAGCCTGGGAGGTGGAGATTGCAGTGAGCCAAGATTGTGCCACTGCATTCCAGCCTGGGTGACAGAGTGAGATCCTGTCTCAAAAAAAAAAAAAAAAGAGGATACACCATACAAAATGAAGTTTGCAAAGCACATATAATGACATAGATTATTTGCATTATATTTGAAAAAAGCAAGATTCAGAATTATATTCACAATTATAATTGTATTCACTATGTGTCAGTTTTATTGAGACAAGTCTCAATTTTGTGTTAAATATATATCAGAAAATACATAATACTAAGAATAGTTCCAGGTTGTATAATTAGGAATGGTTTTCTTTTGATTTTTGCCTTTCTGTTTATTTCCCAATTTTCTACAGTGAGCATGGAGCAAGGAGTAATGATAACACATTGAAGATGAAGTGTGTAATTTTTTTGATGATTTAAATGTGTCATCTAAGAATAGTTCATTTGTATTGTTACAATAAAGATTTTCTCATTCCTTTATTTGTCTTTAGTAATAGTCACCATGATACAAAAGTCAGCATCAATCATGGTGCTCTCTGGACATAACAGTCTGTTACTGTTTTCTTCCTCTATTACTAGGAATCCATTGAATCTGATTTCTTTTTATTTCCCTTCATCAAAGGTTGAATTAATAAAAGGGAATTTACAAAGCGTTGGACTTACACTTCGTCTTGTCCAGTCAACTGATGGGTATGCTGGGCACGTCATCATTGAAACTGTGGCACCAAACTCACCTGCTGCAATTGCAGATCTTCAGCGGGGAGATCGACTTATCGCCATTGGAGGTAATTATGCTAATATGCATTATACTTTACCTTTACAGATAAACTACAGAGTAGGTGTCAGGTTTTTCCTCCCTTCCTTTTCCCTTATTTCTGTAATATGCACATGGTAACTTTTGTAATGGAAAGAAAGTAATAAACTTTATTATAAATAAAAATTTGAAGGAGGCCTTCAAAATACATTTAAAATGTATGTGCCATTTTAGTTCTAATGCATAAATCTTTAACATACTTTATGTTTAGTCCACTTTTATATAACTACTCTAATCCTTCCCTCCCCACCTTCTACTGCTCTATTTTTTCTTGACTATGAAAGTAAGGGCAAATGTACAGTTAGGTTACGGTTACCTTTCTGTACGACTACCACCGTTGCTACTCTGAACCTAAAATTGGTAGTATTAGCACTACTGCCGCCATCACTTAGGACTAGATAATGAGCAGATGAGGAACTAACATGAGGGGCAGATACAATATACATTTATTGTTTTTTGTTTTTGTTTTTTTTAAAACACCTTGGAACATAACAAAAAAGCTTTTGTATGTCTCTTTTTCTGTTGTTTTTTTTTTCCCTCTACATACATATATGCCCTTCCCCATTTTTGTTTAGGAAACAAAACTTTCTAAACTATACATTTTTATAATAGTCTTTATTTCTTTTTTTTTTTTTTTTTTTTTTTTTTTTGAGACGGAGTTTTGCTCTTGTTACCAAGGCTGTAGTGCAATGGCGCGATCTTGGCTCACCGCAACCTCCGCCTCCTGGGTTCAGGCAATTCTCCTGCCTCAGCCTCCTAAGTAGCTGGGATTACAGGCACGCGCCACCATGCCCGGCTAATTTTTTGTATTTTTAGTAGAGACAGGGTTTCACCATGTTGACCAGGATGATCTCGATCTCTCAACCTTGTGATCCACCCGCCTCGGCCTCCCAAAGTGCTGGGATTACAGGCGTGAGCCGCCGTGCCCGGCCAATAGTCTTTATTTCTTTTAACATGTTGGAAATTTTGCCCATGTCAACAGATATTTTTCAAAACATTTTTCTGTAGCTTTGATTCATTTATATGAATATATAATTGTTTTTAAAATATTTGGAATTGGTGATGGTTGAAATAAGATTGGCAAAATGTTATATTTGAAGCTCAAAATAGAATTCATTTTACTGTTTCCTCAACTTTTGAATATGTTTGAAATATTCCAAAAGAAAAATCCAGACTTGAATGATGAGAGAGGTACAATGGCCATCTCCACGTAACACTTGATGACTGGGGAATAGATGAGACGGGCAGATTTTGAGTCATAGAAAATGAATTTAGATTGAGTTGAAGTTTTTGTCTACTGTAGTTCATTAGATGGACTCATTTTTCATTTATGCATATTTATACAGATGCATTTTTCATTATACATATTTTTCAATAATTTACGTTTTCCGTTTTAAAATCTTAAACTAGGTGTGAAAATCACATCGACACTGCAAGTGTTGAAGCTTATCAAGCAGGCTGGTGACCGAGTCCTGGTGTACTATGAAAGGCCTGTTGGCCAGAGTAATCAAGGTGCAGTGCTGCAAGATAACTTTGGCCAGTTGGAAGAAAACTTTTTGTCAAGCTCATGCCAACCAGGTTATGAAGAGGAAGCTGCCGGGTTGACAGTAGATGCTGAAAGTAGAGAGCTGGATTCTGAATTTGAAGACTTGGCAAGTGATGTCAGAGCACAAAGTGAGTTAAAAGATGAGGCACAATCATTAAGTCATAGTCCCAAACGTACTCCAACAACACTTTCTATTAAACCCCTTGGAGCTATATCACCAGTTTTAAACCGTAAATTAGCTATAGGAAGTCACCCACTACCACCAAAAATTCAACCCAAAGATGGAAATAAACCTCCACCCCTAAAAACTTCTGAGATTACAGACCCAGCACAAGTGTCAAAACCCACCCAAGGATCCACTTTCAAACCACCTGTGCCACCACGACCACAAGTGAAAGTTCCTTTGCCTTCCGCTGATGCTCCAAATCAGGCAGAACCAGATGTTCTTGTTGAAAAGCCAGAGAAGGTGCCGCTGCCTCCTCCTGTAGATAAATCTGAAAAGCAAGCAAAAAATGTGGATCCCATAGATGATACAGCTGCATCTAAGCAGTTTTTAGCAAAGCAAGAAGTGGCCAAAGATGTCACTTCAGAAACTTCCTGCCCTACTAAGGATAGTTTGGATGACCGTCAAACATGGGAATCATCAGAAATTCTTTATCGTAATAAGCTGGGAAAATGGACAAGAACCAGAGCATCCTGTTTGTTTGACATAGAAGCCTGCCACAGGTACTTAAACATTGCATTGTGGTGCAGGGATCCTTTTAAGTTGGGAGGTCTCATCTGTTTGGGACATGTTAGTTTAAAACTTGAAGATGTGGCTTTAGGATGCCTAGCTACATCAAACATGGAATACCTTTCCAAATTCAGACTGGAAGCCCCTTCACCTAAAGCTATAGTCACTAGAACTGCACTGCGCAATCTGAGTATGCAAAAGGGATTCAATGACAAATTTTGCTATGGTGACATTACTATTCACTTCAAATATTTGAAAGAAGGAGAATCAGACCACCCTGTAGTTACTAACATAGAGAAAGAAAAAGAACCCCATTTGGTTGAAGAAGTTTCTGCTCTCCCTAAAGAGGAACAATTTGTTGGACAGATGGGTTTAACAGAAAACAAACACAGTTTCCAGGATACTCAGTTCCAGAACCCAACGTGGTGTGACTACTGTAAGAAGAAAGTTTGGACTAAAGCAGCTTCCCAGTGTATGTTTTGTGCTTACGTTTGCCATAAAAAATGTCAAGAAAAGTGTCTAGCTGAGACTTCTGTTTGTGGAGCAACTGATAGGCGAATAGACAGGACCCTGAAAAACCTCAGGCTAGAAGGCCAGGAAACCCTCTTAGGCCTGCCTCCTCGTGTTGATGCCGAAGCTAGCAAGTCGGTCAATAAGACAACAGGTTTGACAAGGCATATTATCAATACTAGTTCTCGTTTATTAAATTTGCGTCAAGTCTCTAAAACTCGCCTTTCTGAACCAGGAACTGATCTCGTGGAACCTTCACCAAAACACACACCCAATACATCAGACAACGAAGGCAGTGACACAGAGGTCTGTGGTCCAAATAGTCCTTCTAAACGGGGAAACAACACAGGAATAAAGTTAGTGAGAAAAGAGGGTGGTCTGGATGACAGTGTGTTCATTGCAGTTAAGGAAATTGGTCGTGATCTGTACAGGGGCTTGCCTACAGAAGAAAGGATCCAGAAACTAGAGTTCATGTTGGATAAGCTACAGAATGAAATTGATCAGGAGTTGGAACACAATAATTCCCTTGTTAGAGAAGAAAAAGAGACAACTGATACAAGGAAAAAATCACTTCTTTCTGCTGCCTTAGCTAAATCAGGTGAAAGGCTACAAGCTCTAACCCTTCTTATGATCCACTACAGAGCAGGCATTGAAGATATGGAAACTTTAGAAAGTCTGTCTTTAGACCAGCACTCCAAAAAAATAAGCAAGTACACAGATGATACAGAAGAAGACCTTGATAATGAAATAAGCCAACTAATAGACTCTCAGCCATTCAGCAGCATATCAGATGACTTATTTGGCCCGTCCGAGTCTGTGTAACAGACAGGTCTATTTAAACTTTCAAATGAATGGGGTAAAGTTGCATCTAAAGTACCACAGATACAACCATGTTTAAATCCTCTTATGCACTTTGGCCTGCTTCTCCAGTTACTTGCTTGTGTAAGAACAGAAAGGAAAGGTTGTTTTCCGGTTAAAAACATGAGCAGCTTACTAAATGGTTGTTTGGGATTGCATTTATAGCTATGCTTTTTGGGTTTATACTGGGAATTTATTTTTACTAATTTATTTTTAACTTTTCTAATTATGTAATTATGTAAGCTAACTTTTCATGTTTATGTATATATGGTGTCCCCTTGTGTTATTTTCCTTCCTCTTGGTTTTTGAATTAGTGTTAAATAGCATACCTACTGTCTAGATTCTTGAAATATTTTCATTTCCATCATGGTTATTACAAATTTGCTGCATGCCCAAATTGACAATAACAATCATTGAGGGAACAGGTTTTGAAGCTTTCTTTTGTGTTATGAAGTTTATCGTCTCTACTTGCTTGAGATTTTTGTTATTTTGAGGCTTTGGGGCTACTTTTTGTTTTGTTTTTGCCAAATGTATCATGAAAGCAGATGCTGCAGCTTTAGTCTGTTGTGCTGATTAAGTAAAAAAAAAAAAAAAAAAATTTTTTTTTACATATATTGCTTGCTTTTGATACTTCTATGAAATTTTTTTCTAAAGCTTTTGTGCAGCTGAAGTATGGTAAAAAATATGGTGATTAATTTGAAGAACTTACGTTGAAAGACTGTAATAGGAAATAAATGTAGAATGCAGTTAGTCAAGAATTTTGTAGAGAGGATAACAAGACTTACTGAAAACAGTAATGTAGCATTTTGAAATATAAATTAAAATATTGATGCTTTCCTTTTAAATAGAAATTTTAAATTTATGATTAAAAGTTTAAACATTTATGATTATTTTTCATCAGTTCTCCCATAGGAAATAAAGTGTGTGAAAGGGTAAAGTTTTGGAGGACTCTTTAAAATTACTGTGTTGGTAACTAGTTTTGGCTGGTTTTGTTTTAGAAACATTTTCATGTAGAAGTATTCTGTGAAGGAGAGGAATCATGGAAAATGTATTTATTGCTTTATCTGACATCTTACAGGCATAAAGAAATGGTAATCATTTTGAATACTTCTGTAGTTCAGACTATCTTCATTAAGAAAAGAAAGACAAAAATAGACAGTATACATACATAGGAATTGGGACCAGTTCTCTGAAAATGAAGATCTACTCACACTGGATCCGTTTTACGGATCCCGGTAACCCTGACTGAGGGAAAACACGTAAGCTTGACTGCTCTTGGGGTACCTTAATAGTTTTCAGTCTGTTGTATACCTATAAAATAGACAAGCATATGTTTTTCCCTTGTGTCGGTAACTGCTATGATAATTGCTATATAGTGAAACTGACATGAATTTAAAACTAGATGGAGCAGCTTTTATTGCTAGCAGGGAAAAGCATAATATTACGGATTGTGGCCCAGGTCTGGAGTCCAGGACTCCATAAAAGAGTTTAAGTTCAAGCCCTTCCATTAATGAACTGTGCAAGCATAGGCAGTTACAAAAGGGCTCCATCCCACAGTTTACCCATCTCTAAAATGGGAATATTCATACTTTACCTATTTCACAGGATTGTTGTGAGGAAAGTAGCATAACTGCAAAAGTGCTTTGGACAGTAAAAAGCTATACAAGTAAAAGGCATTGTTTGTATGAGTGAGAAAGACATTTTTGAGGGTAGAAAAGTTATTCCACTTTAAAAATCAATAGCCAAGTCTCATACCTTTTGTTACTTTATTAAGTAAAAATTTCAGGCATTAAATACCTTTCTTAGCCATGTTTATAACAAAAACATATTCCAGTATACTTATTATTTAAGTGTGATCTCTTATTTTAAAAGAACACTGCTATAGAATACTTTACATACCAAATTCCCTGAAAGCTAAAATATTGTTCCATAACTTACACTTGAAGCAATCTGCTCAATGTGTAACCACATTTTATAAAAATAACTTACCATTGATAATCTGGAAGGTGGAGTACTTGTAAGTAGCTGGTGTTTATTGATTAAACCATGGAAGTTTTAATGATACTCAAGCATGTTGCTGAAACTGATGCATTTGAAAGAGCTGTTGAAATAATGCAAAACTGGTTTCATAAGAATCTACTCATGTTTTAAAAGTATGTAACTCCGCAGACCACATTTATAGAAAGCTCAGTAATGCTGCTAATGACATTTGTAAACTATACCTATAATGTAGTGCAATATTTTTATATTTCACTGGGAGAGGCAGTAGGGACATCATAGTTGTACTTTAGTGCAAGCAGGGGAACACTCTGAATAGCCTAGAGTATAGTAAGGTAAAAAGCTTCAATGAAAAAAAGCTGTATATTACATTACTGATGTAATCTTGCTGCCATGCTATGTATCAATAGCTAAAAAATAATAAAGATAAGACTACCACAGAAAACAAGAATATCCTCATTTGATGACATCTTAAAAAAGGGTGATTGCTGCATCTCTATGGAATTATCTTCTGCTATAATTTGGCCATGCAGAAAAGCATAAAAGTCCACTTTTGCTAAACAAAATTGCTATTTGGCAGACTGCCCCAAAACATTTTTTTAAACTATTGTTTTCTTATGGATTGAGTTTATGGATTTTCTTTGGCTATGTATTACTAATTAGACATTAAAATAGGTTTTCTACATTTTTATTAGTTGAAGGAATGGGTTAGACAAACTGACTGACATTATACCATTATTAGCATCATAATAGGCTATATTTCTTCATGTTAAGCCTTATATTCAACATCAGAACTACTTGAAATATGTGGCTATTTTGTGATGCTGGGAGGAGAAAATACAACCTAAAAATTTTGAAGGAGTACTGTCACGTTCTAAATGTATAGCTGAATTTTTTGAAAGCATTTGGAAATATTTGGCTCTTACTAATAATAGATAATAAAATCTTAAGTCCCCTAAAAGTGAGTAAATTTTAAATACATACTTTTAAAAATATTGTCCTAATTTCAGAATTGAAGTAACAGCTTTTCTTACGCGGTGGGGGGTGGGGGGGCACAGGGAAGAAAGGAGAGGTTCCCCCTAATTCCTTTTGGGCCATAGATCCCCTTTTAAGATCTGATTAAACATATGGACTTTCACCCCAGGAAGATACCCATGTGTGCACACCATTCAAAATGTATCTGATTTTAAAGGTTTTATGGAACTCCCCAGGGATTATGTCAAATGGCTGGATATTACAGCTATTTTCATCAGATATGGTTATTTATTGACAACCATCAGGACAATGTTTATAGATGCAAGGATAACTTGTTTTTTCCCCCACACACACTGAATGTGGCTAGTTACATGTCTCAATTTAAAATAAATTGTGGAAAGTCAAAAAAAAAAAGTACGGTCAAGCTAACCTCAAGTTGCTTTTACCTGATACCTACAAGCACAGTAGAATAGTATTTAATTAGCTATCCACAGTCAAAATACCTTTATCTTTTAGTCCAACAATATTTGGTTTATAAAGGAATACAAATAGGCACAGTACATGGTTCAGAAGATTTATTAAGTAAACTTGCTAAAACATGGACAGATGCACTTAGCCAAACAGTTGAATATTCATTGCTACCTCATTAAGGTTTTTATATCTGTATTACCAGGTACAAACATAAAAACCACCTCTGTTCAAAAAATAAGTGTTCAGAGAGCTGTAGTTTGTTTTGGTACGTACATTTTTAAAAACACCTCTTTAGTCTTGCTAACCAAGAGTATTAGTCATATAAAAGAACTTATAATTGTTTTTCCCAAGTACAACATATCATTGCTCCCAAAACAGTTCTGAAGGTTTTATTTATATTTTATCTTATCCCAAGGGATCAATAGCAGGCATACCTTTGCCAGGCATTCTTGCAGAAAGACACAGAGCCTTAAAGGTGAAAATAAAATCGTAATAAAGTATACAGTATTAGGGTCAGGGAGAACCAAAAACCCTCAAAGAGAACCAATTTGTAGCACGTTCTTTTCTAAGGCTGTAGCCTGTAGAAGGAAAAAACTAGCCTGCCTTTTTAGCCATATGAGAGTTCCTCCAGAGCCATCTTACAAAGTAGCAGACTTGGCCAAGTTGCCCAGTGCCAAATAAGTGAGTTGGAAGCTTGTTTGCTTCAAACACAATGAAACAAAGGAAATGTTAGCTACTTTACTAGAGAATAAGAAAGCCACAAGATTGAGGAATCTTTGTTCTAAAGTTCTTTGCTCCTTGATGTCCAAGTTAACACAAACACAATCTTAACAAAACTAATTTTTGTTTATGATTACAGAACTTCAGGATTAGCAAGTATTAAGAGACATTTCATACTATACCCAGTCATATCTCATACAAAACAACATAAATTGACTATGTTCACTAACAGTATTTGCTGTTATACTGAAAAGGCACATCAATGTTGTCATGCTTAGAAAAACTACACTGCACACTAGTTAATATAGTTAACACATTTTTAGATGTTTCATTTTTCTTTTCTGCCTGACCATACTACTTTTACTTCTTTTAATACATGATTAAAGACATAATTTCCTTCCTAATCTTCATTTAAAATTTGTCTTCACATTGATGTGAATAATTTTCACGAGTCTAAAAAATGTTTCAGACAACCTAAAATAAATAGATCCCTAGAAAACACTTGGATGATCTGCAAACAGATCAAAGATACAGTCAGATGTTCAAGTCAGAGCAGCTGTTACTAGCCTGTTGTTTCTTTTTCTAAAACTTGAAGTAGATGGCGATGAACCTTATCATGTTTAAACAACCTTGACAGTATAAGGTACATATACCCTCAATTTTCTTTCATCTAGTCAAGTATGCATCTTTCCCAACTTTTAGTTCATAACAGTACGTTTGGTTGCTTTTCTCTGCTTTCAGAATGTTTACTATTTTTCCCTTATTGGCTTTAATGTTTGCTGCCAACAACATAACATGTAGACATATAATTTATAACTCTCTCTTTCTAGGTAGGTGATTACATAGCAAACTAATGCCAGCTAAGATTTATGGATCCAAAAGATAACTGACACAAGTTCTTGTCCTCTACACCTGAGATAACGAGCTCTTTAACTCATAAATGTATTGATAGTAACTACAAGTTAAATAACACTCATTGTCACTATATAACATGCTGTCTTACTTGATTCTGTTGTTCAGACTTCATTCTAGTTTCTCTTGTTGGAAGAGTCTCAGAGATAATATGTGCTTTAATTTTAAACACTCATTTCAAATATTCAGAAAAAAAAGATTTTGCCCAAGTGTTTGTTAATGTAAGTTAAAAAAAAATTATATTTGGTTTGGATTCAAATATTTATAGATTTACACAATACCTATTTCATCAAAATATATTGTATGGTATTTAATAAAATCAAATACATAAAATAAAGTTTCGACACTATTTATACAAACCCCTAGAAAAGCTTCTTTTTCTTTATAAGGCTGTTGGCAATCGATCATCACCATGGAAAAGAAATAATAACCTTTGGTTTTACTATTTCACCAGAAGTGGATGGTTTGACTAAGACAGTTCTGGATGAGTCGTGTCACTGGAAACACTGTTTTATACAATTAAATACTTTGATGACTTTTGAGAGTCTCAGTCACTTTCAGATTCTTCATCATCACCTATCGGATATGACTGGATATTATTCTGAGTGTACATTTTTGTTTTAATAGGGCAGTTGTGATCCATGAGAATAGCCTACAAGAGAACAAAGTGCAAATGTATCAACTTCTTTTTTCACAAAGATAAGATGGTTTTAACCTACTGTTTTTAAGGATTGTTAGTTTGAAAGCTATGTACTATTACTTACTATTTGGAGCAATCACCAGGTGCCTGACCTAAAAGACCTGTAATTCTACACTCTTAACACTCTAATACTTCCAGGCAATTGGAAACAGCAGAAGTGGTCTCTGCAGTATTTTCATTATACCTGTCAGGGGCCATAAGTCAACTCTGCGAACTTATACTCTATGAAGCAAAGGGACAGGCAGGTTAGGTTTGTTATACTTAGAATCTTGGAATTGTATGGCGATCCTGGAGGTCACCCAGTCCAAATTCTGTTTACAGACACCATTGTGACAACACACCTTGAAAGGATGTGCTCACTCCTTAATGAAACTCTCATATGTGAGAAATGTACCTAATTCTAGACTACAACCCATTTCCATTGTTTGCATTCATGAATCTGGTTCTGATATCTTTTTTTCTTTTTTGAAACAAGTTTTGCTTTGTCACCTAGGCTGGGGTGCACCAACCTCTGCCTTCTGGATTCAAGCAATCCTCCCACCTCAGCCTCCCAAGTAGCTGACATTACAGGTGTGTACCACCACGCCCAGCTAATTTTCTTGCATCTCTAGTAGAGATGGAGTTTCACCATGTTGGCCAGGCTGTTCTCAAACTCCTGACCTCATGTTATCCACCCTCCTCGGCTTCCCAAAGTGCTGGGACTACAGACATGAGCCACTGCACCCAGACAGTTCTGATATCTTCACAGGCTACCTTTACAATCTTTTGTTGTTTTTTTGAGATACAGTCTCACTCATGCCATAGTGCAATCTCAGCTCACTGCTGCTTCCCAGGCTCAAGCCATCTTCCTACCTCAGCCTCCCAAGGAGCTGGGACTACAGGCATGTGCCACCAAGCCTGGCTAAGTTTTATTTATTTATTTATTTTTGTAGAGATAAGATCTCACTATATTGCCCAGCTGCCCGAACTCCTAGGCTCAAGTGATCTTCCTGCCTCAACCTCCCAAAATGGTGGGATTACAGGTACAAGTGACCATGCCTGGCCCCCAATCTTTTAAGATATTGTCATGGCCTGTAGATTTTTTCTTAGGCAAAACACGCTAGAGCTTTTATTTTTTCATACATGTGATTGCTACCTCTCCTCAAATCCTGGCTGTCCTCTAGCTTAAATAAATACATGATTTTTTTTTTTTAATCTTCTTCTGATAAGCATGAAACTCTTTTCTCCTCCTTTATTGTTACTGAAAATGTAAAAACTTTGACAAAAACATGCTGCTCTGCTTTCAAACCAGATTCTCATATAAGTATTTGCTTATATTTGATAACACAGCTGACATTATCATGCCAAGACCATGCTAAGCATTTTAGAAGCAGCTTTTTCTGGATGACTGATAGTTGTTCCACAAAGCCCTCTCAGCAACAGCTGTTTTTTGTTTTCTGAGTAACTCTTCGTGGGAAGTGAGAAAACAGGCACAGAGCAGTTAAGGAATTTGACCAAGGGATGCACAGCTAGAATGGAGCAGACAGGAGCCACCTGCAGCACTCCACGGTAGTTGGATGAGCACAGAGGACGGCACGTTATAAAATGAGTTATCAGGTATGTCTTGAGTTTTTCTCCATGTGAACTACTCCCCTAATATTTTTTTTTGCAGTTTGCAAATCTAAATAGATTAAAATGTATCTGATGTTGGCCTATTGCAGCCCATCTTGTCTGTTAGCGGTTACTCCCAGCTCTTGTCCCCAGATTTAATAAGACACCACTCAGTGCTTAACCCATTTATCATTTCCCAAGACATTCTCCAAAGTTCTGTGTAACATGTGAAGATAAGGACTTCCTGACACTCTAGGTTAGGCTGCCAGCTCAACCTGTCAGCTTCTAACTTAACTGTTTCTTTTTATGCTGCTTGCCAAGTGATTCAATAAAGAGCCCAATTTTTAAAATAAAATAATGGCGGCACTAGACTGTACATCAGGTCCATTCTCCCCGTGTGACACAAAGGTTTAATCCCCCTAATAACTAGATGTCTAATCTCCCCAGATTAATGATTCTCGAGGAAATGTAGGGATGGAGAGATGGAGCTGGTTAAGAAATGAAAGTCCAGGACCCTGTCCTCACATGACAGTGATGTCAGCAAACTGAGAAACACTGCCCTAGTTACATGGCATTATCTAAGTCTATAGCACTGTCATCTGGCTGACAGCAGCTGATGGGACACGTATTAGGTGTTGCATATGAGTGCCCTTAAGGTCCTATCACAGCATCTTAGTTACCTCCCTGCATGGGCAAGAACAGGGACTCCAGGGTCCCAGGTGGAGTGCTCACTTCTGGTTCAGTACCCAGGGAAAGCCATCCTGTAGAGGCAGGAGTTGAGGTAAACCCTGAAAGATGGGAAAGAGTTGGACAGCAAGGGAGGTGGCAATGAGTAAAACATGAGTTATTTATCATGCAGGACACTAAGCCAGCCTGGCCACCACAGAGATCTGCTGAGGAGGCACAGTGAGATACCAATTGGGACACCCAACCAGAACACAGTGCATGGGGCCTTGATCCTTCTTGCATGGCCCCCAGGCAGCCAGGTCACCTCATAAAGAATGGCCATCACTATCTTATTCCTAATTGTCTTCCTTCTCTTGGCTCATCCACATTAGACCTGAATTGTATGAATACAACATCTTAAGAACCCCAGAACCTAGGACTGGGCACATGATATGAATGCAACAAAAAACTACACTGCAGGAAAAGCAGTTCAGTCAGATTGATTATTTGGCATTATGCAGACTTAACTGATCAGCATTTGTCAATTCACCCAAACCATATTTGTTAACAGCCTGTTCCAGGTAAAATTTTCCTCCTTGAAATGTTCTGTGGCCTTTAAAACCTAGCTCACTGGCTTCCAAACCTCTCGAAAGATTTATTGTGCAATAATTGTACTTTAAAAAAAGTTATACGTGATTAAATAAGCCAGATGGCATGTAATGTTTCAAAAGCACCGTGAAGAAAGAGGCATGAACAGCATCAAGAGGGTCAGTCAGGTGCATGGGGAGCAAGTCGGACGGCCGCAGTGAAGGCAGGTAAATTAAACCTGCCCTCCACACACTGCTGGGGGGAGGAAGATGCATTCAACTCTCAACCGAAGAGAAAAGCAATGGGAGGGGATTGGCATTTGAATTCAGAGCAAAGCCCGCTTATTAAGAGGTGATCCCGGCACCTCCAAATGCTCCTTTCATGAGTCAGTATCTCCTAAGTGGCAAAAAACAAGCAAACAAATAAACATGGTGGACCAAATGAAAAGTAAAAGTAATACAAATACGAAGCTGGGGTAGTGAACCCATCAAAGCATTAAAAGGTAAGAGCTCCAGTCTTCAAGATTTTGGTAGGTACCAGGCCTTCTGACTAGGAAAGTTTTATTCTCTTCAACATAACTAGAAAAACAATGATGGTTTTGCATCCACTATTTAAATACCTGCAAAGGGACAAATTTCTATGAATAACTTACAATATGCAGAATGTATTCTATCTCAGCAGCCTCCGGCCACCCCGTCTTTGCCCCATCCATGGCATCCAGAAAACAGAGCTGTTGCTGGAAGGGCTTTATGGAACAACTATCAGAGCCATCCAGAAAAAGAAAGCTGCAATCCTCAAACCACCTAATTTCTTGTCTGGGCAACAATTAGAAACTTCAAGAGTAAAATTAACCAGTGTGCCCTGACTTTAAAAATAATTCTTCAACCTGGGAAAAAAAAATTCACAACACAACTATTCTCAACTGGGAATTTTGAGAGTGAAGCACTACCATGTCTTACAACAATTTCCCTCGAATGGTAATGTCGATATTTCCTATATGAGGAGAGGGACCTGAGTAACAGGTTTTTTCCTCCACCTGTACTGATAAAGCCGATTATAAAAAATGGAAATCCAATAAACCAAATGGAAGATAACTCACATGCTCACAAACTAGTTCATGATTCTATGACTTGTGATACATGAAAATAGCATTAGATCCTACAATATAAAACAGCCTAAGTCCAAACATCTTGTTATCAAGATGCTGTCTGATGGAAGAATTATTTGCTAAGAGTCATATGCCTTCAGGCTCTCATATCCCCAAGCATTTGGCAACTGCTCATCCTGAACACCAGCACTTGCCTGCTCTGGGGTTTCTCAAGTGCATGGTCATCGATTCTTCCTCCTCCCTCGCACACTGCAGTACTGCCTGCATGCCCCCTTATCATTAGGTGCTGTCAGCCACCACTACTGGCTTCCTGCTCTGCTTGCACAATGAGTAGGCAGCAGCTGCTGGTCGCCACTCTCAAATGTCACCATTAGGCCACTCAAATGGCATCCGACATGATGCCTTCAATTAGGGGCATCATTGATGGGCACTGAGATGCATACTTTCTCAAGTGTTTAATGATTTATCTTGCTAGGTGCTTATTAAGGGTGGTAACATCTCACAGTGAAAGTGGCTTTCTGGAAACCTATAATTCTTACTGTTTTGCCTTTCAACATCACCTCTTTCACTTCCTTCAGCATTAAAAAAAAAAAAAATGAACTAAAGTGTTCGTTTAAATTGGGAAAAGGGAGGGGTACTGAGGCCTGCCTTCTGCTAGTCCTTCTGCAGAACACAGTGGTA